CCCCCCTATTTTTTTTTTTTCCAAAAGACATTTGAAGTTCATTTCTCTTTCAGCAAATTGCACTGTTTAAAAGTGGTGGTTCAAAGACCAAAACCCACGAGCTTCTTCCCACCCCTCTCCTGCACCCTGGAAACCCCAGTCCTCACCTCCCCGGCAGTCACATGGATCTTCAGGGATGATTTTTTTTTCTTTCTCCCCCGTACCCATCCAAAGACATTTTCCAAACCAGTCCCAGAGCTGACCTGTTACAAACCCCTGATCCCACCCACCCCCCCTGCCCTGTACAGTGAGTTTTACTGAACGGATACACAAAGGCGCAGGTAAGACTAGTAAGACAGAATATACTCATCATCCATACCACAACGCTACATCTCTAAGGCATGCCGTCCTAACCGTGATGGGATGGGAAGCCGGCTGGCTTCCTGTGCATCCATCTCGCGTACCTGAGGGAGGGAGGGAGAATCTGAGATGGCTCTTGGACGCGCTGCCTGCTTTCCTTCTCCATCTCCTTTGTTTTATTTCCCCTTGTCTTTTCCTCAGTTAAAACCCACTGTCCTTTCTCCCCCTCCTCCAGGAGGTTAAAATCCCTCTCTGTGTGTGTGTGTGTGTGTGTGTGTGTTGGATGCTGGTTGCTACTGTTGCTCTTTCTCCTCTGGCTTGGAGCTAAGAAACCTGGGTGACATCTGGCAAGGAAGGAGAGGAGGCTGCTGTCCAAAATAACAGTGTTTGGGTGGAGAGGGAGGAGAGAATGAAAAACCAAACACATCAGAACAACAGGTGGAGAGGAGTCTACCTACTGGCTACCATACATTGGGTGTCTCAGGGATGAGATGTCCCACCACAGACACCTGCCCGGCGTGTTAGCTAAGGGAGATCAGTATGGTGTTGGTGAGCAGCTCAAACTGGCTGAAGATCTCCCTGGAGAAGAGGCGTCCCTGCACACTGAGTCCACTCTCGCACTCTTGCCACCCTCCCTGCTTTGGAGCTTCCATGAGAGCAGCTTGTGACCCTTCGCAGATGTTTAAGGAGGGGGTGGGGAGGAAAAAGGTCATTTTGGATCTTTCCCTGAAACACCCTGGAGGACTCTCAGCCTTCAGGTGTCTCAACACAACACTCTCCCTTGCTGGGGACCAGCAGCTAGTCACAGCGCTGCCCTAGGAAAGCCACAAAGCCAGCATAGGCAGCCGCCGTACCTCGGTGGGGGGCTCTAGTCTGAGCCTAGTTAGCCCAAATGTGTGGGGGGGTGGGCAGATGTCCAGGAGCTATAGGCAGCAGGGCTATACCCGAAGCAATACAAGGTTAGACAGAGCAAAGGGAGAGAGGAAAAAGTGAGGAGTAAAGCAGGACTGTACCTTCCTCCTTGTGGCTGTGACCTTTCTCAGGGGCTGTGCAGGGCCCTTGCATCCTAGGGATGCTCAGCGGGACAACGGCCTGCTTCAGCAACCCTCCTCTCCGCAGGACTTGAATAATTTTCTTTTGTTCCACGTTACCTGCCCTGCTTTTAATGCAAGCATCTCCACTAGGTTCCATTCCTGGCATCTGGGGGCATGTCACAGGCAGGAGAGCAGGAGCCTGGCTTGTCCCAAGGAATGTGTGAAGTAGCCACAGCTGATTTGGGAGGGGTAAAGTATCATGCATTTAATAAACTCTTCAAAGTGAGGAAGAGGGTAGGAGAGGAGGGAGAAAGGGGGAAATTTACAGACAGAAATGGAGATCTGGAGGCTAGAGGATGGGGATGGACCTAGCCCTTACGATGTTCAACAAGGTTTGAGGCAAATTCTCACCAGAGGTTTTGGGTCACCACCTGCTTCTTCCTCCCTTGTTTCTTGGCTTCATAAATGGCAGGTCCCTTTCTAGGTGCTGTGGGCTGCCCCCTCCAATGCTGGGTTGGAAGAGAGCATCACCCCAACTCCATTTGCCTAGGGGGTAGCTTGGGGTGGTTGGGTTCACTTGCAGCCAAGGAAAGGTGAGGCATGACATTCCCCCTAGTAATGCTTTGGCAGCAACGCTTGCCAAGGCCTCTGATCCCCTTCAGAAATGCCCTCTCCATGATTTTTCAGGGCCAGGAGAAGGATTTTGTTAGCTGGGTTGTCCTACTGCTGGCCTGAGGAGGTTCACCTCAGATACAACTGCCTGCTGCCAAGCAGGATTTGTTTGGTCATCATGTCAAGATGTCCAAAGGGCTCACACTAAATCTGTTTAAGAAAAAAAAAGTCCACCTAGATTTATTGAGCTTAAGTACTGTAAGATGACGTGGAAGAGGAAGCCCCTGCTCTGAGCATGCTGGGAGGACGGACCAGGGGGACCATTTCCCAGTGACATGCTGGGGAGGGGGGTGCCAGAGCTGCTTCCCCTCGAGCACACTGAGCATACCGCTCTTGTACATGGGGGGGGGGGGGAGGGGGCAGTAAAAGGGGGAGG